TACCAGACAGGTTTTCCAAACTGAAAATGGGTATGGGACATCTCCATCCTCAAACATCTAACTTTTTTTTTTTTCTTTTCTCATTTATTTTTTCGTTGAGAGATTTTTTGCTATAAGGTACGTATGCTCAACAGAGACACAAAATGCAAGAAATCACCCCTGAGGGGTGATGGCCACACCGAAATCCCTTCTCCTCCATTCTCATCTAGGGATTTCAGGCATGCACATGTGCCTGGAGTGAGTTTTAAGCCACTGTGTCCAGGACTCAAGCTGCAGTCAACTACATAGGCATCTGGTGACATAGCCATCATGCCATCTGTTGGTCCCACTTACTTTTTTTAAAAGAAGTATTTATTTAATTTTATTTATCATATTATTATTTTAATTTGCTACAGGGTGTGCACACTCACCAGAGAGAGAGAAAGCTGCCAGGGCCAGGACTCCAATAATGGTGGGCCATGTGGGAGTCCAGCCCTTTACCCACCATGCTACCTGCTGGCCCCATCAAGCCTTGTTTTTAAAATTGTGTAATCTTTGTGCTGAGTACCTACAACCCAGTTGAGATATACTGAAGGCAGAACAAAATGACTTTGGGGAGGGTTAATTTCCTGATATTTCTTTAGCTCCCCCTTTTCTCTGAAAGGTGTGTGTGTTTGTGTGTGTGTGTGTATTTAAACAATAAATTCAGTGATTAATTTAATTTTTTGGAGAGGTTTTCGCTATAGGGCGCGTGCGCTCGCCAGACAGAGACATAGAGACAGAAAGCGAGAAATCACCCCCCAGGGGGGATGGTCACGCCGCAATCCCTTCTCCTCCATTCTCCTCTTGGGATCTTGGGCACGCACGCACACGTGCCCGGCGTGAGTTTTAAGCCACTGGGTCTGGGACACGAACCGCGGTCGACTACGTGGGAGTCCAGTGCCATAGCCATTACGCTAACTGCTGGTTCCCAGTGATTAATTTTATTTTAAATGTCAAATATCATCAGAGAAAATCTGCCACCCTGTCTTGGAGGGTGTTGTAATCAGTGGAGACCAGAACATGGCCTGCCAGATGCTTTGATCTGTAGTGTGGGGATGTGTAGGTGAATAGGGTCATTACAAGTGCTTTTCCCTTTTAATTTTGAACATGAAGGGTGAAACTAATGACTAGGAACCAAATTTCTTGAATTGAGCTGATAATTGTTCTGTGACTTACAGACCAGAAAGTCTTCTCAGCTTAGTGCCAGCCGGTTCTAGTCTGTTCTGTTGCCAATAACAGAAAATACCTGAGTCTGGGTGCTTTATAGGATCAGAGGTTTATTTAGCTTGTGGTTTAATGGTCCAGGGTCCAGAAGCTGCATCTGATGAGTCTTCTTGCTGGAGGGCAGGAGCCTGAGCAGGGTAGGTCCATGTCTGTGTCTCTTCTGTTCTCTCCTTCCTGCTCCTTAGGAACTCAGCTGGAATCATTGTGAGGCCTTGCCCCAATGACTTCAACCCTAATCTCCCAAAGCCTCCACCTGAACCCAGGCCAGGCCTCTTGCTCAATTAAGGAACAAACTCTGAGTAGGGCCCACTGAGCTGCTTTTCATGATGTTATCACCCCACCATCTGCAAGGAGTGCTGGAAGCTGTTCTCTCCCCTAGAACCACTTAGCTGCACACTGTCTCTGCTTATCTGAGCAGAACCAGGAAAGGGCTGGCAAGGACCAGGTGACAGATGGGACAGCCTGGGAGGTGAGGATTAGATGAACCACTCTCGGCCAGGCTCCTGGGAGGGTGGGGGAGAGCAGACATAGTGAATTATGCCGTTTCCATGGAGCGGGACTGTCCTGTGCCCTCCTGATGTGGCTGTGGGCTTGGGCTGCTTCTGTTCTTGAGGATTTTGTGTGTCCTCTTTGAGCAGGAAGCAGGTCCTGACCCACCCCCGAGTTAGGATTTCTACTTCCTTGTCTCAACCTGATGGGGTTGGGGTGAGTGGTCACTTTATTTCACGTTTACAGGAAGGTCCTGCCTTTAAAAAAACAAAACAAAACAAAAAAACTCTTAAGCTTGGTACTGGGATGAAAGCATGGGGCAGGCTTAGCCCAGGTTTTAGATATGGTTTGGGTGTACCCCAGCCCTGTCCCTGGTTAACCGTTGCAGGGCAGCTCCCTAATTGCCTGAGCCCCTTTGTGGGGGAGGTCAGCTATATGAGGATGAGAGTCCTCATGGCTATGGACGGCCACCCTAGAACCACTTAACTGCACACTGGCACCACTTGCATTCGACTGTCTGGCCAGTTCCTTGCTTCTGCGTTTATAGGACTATCATAACTGGAGCCTCCCATCCCGTGGCTCCCAGTCTAGTGTCCCTGAATGAAACCTTGGAATTATTTATTTTCAGCAATTTGGAGTCCTAAGGAAAAGTGACCTGCGTGAGCTAAGTAGATGTTGGAAGGCCTTTGCTTTTGGCTACATAAACCAACTAAACACAGGAATGTTGGTCATCTCATGGGGGTGCCTAAGAGGGAGGGGTGTGGCTTCTGATTAATAGAAAATAGAAAAAATGGTGTCTTCGAAGACCATGGTTTTGTGTGGGAGGAGGAAAACAGGCTCTTAGTCAAGAAGCTAAGGGCTTAAGAAATTGGTTCCCTCAAAGCATGAACTAAGTCTGCCTGGTCACCTTTTCCCGTACATTCCAGCCCCTGACACCCAGGCTCCAATCCTGACTCCCTCACTTACTAGCTTAGGAGTCTGGGACTCTTGAAGCCTTCTTTGAGAGAGAGAGAGAGAGAGAGAAAAACAAACAGCAACATGAATGGATTTTTTTCTGGAGCTTGACCTGTAGAGTAATAATCCAACAAATACTACATATGGATACCATCCTACTTCTCATATTTGATTTTTGACTTCTAATAGTTTTGTGGGTTTAAAGTGTATAAATTGTGCTCAGCCTGGTAGTACAAAGGTAACCCAAGACTGCAGCGCTGAAGCTGTTGGTCCCAGACTCACTTCTTAAGGTCTTTCTGCATGTTCTGTGCCCCCTATGATCCTGGCTGAGGCTGAGACTGGGGTTGGATCACAATGTGAAGGTCCTGTTGAGGTGTCTGTCTGTATGTCTATATCTCATGTATGAAACAGATGAATACACTTTTTAAAGAGGTCTTCTTTTTTCTTTTCTTCTTTCTTTCTTTCTTTCTTTTTTTTTGCCTTAGGGCACAAGCACTCTCTGGAGAGAGACAGAGACAGTAAGAGGGAAAGCGAGAAATCACCCCTTGGGGGGGATGATCATATCACAATCTCTTCTCCTCCTGGGATCTTGGGCACACAACACACACACCTGACATGATTTTCACTGGGTCTGCAACTCAAAGTACCGTTGGGAGTCCAGCAACATAACCGCTATACCATCTGCAGGGGTCAGCTCTAGCAATGCAGCTCTGGGGGACTGTGCAGCCTGGGAATGGCCTAGTGAGTGTGCACAGCAGGTGGCATAATGGTTAAGTTGCTGGGCTCCTGGTTTGAATCCCGGACCTGGTAACTCGAAACTCTTCACTGGGCACCTGTGTGCGAGCCCAAAATCTGAAAGGAGAATAAAAGAGAAGGGATTGTGGTGTGGCCATCCCCTCTGGGGAGTGATTTCTCACTTTTCATCTCTCTCTCTCTGGCTAACACATGCACCTATAGCAAAAATCTCTTTCTTAAAAAAAGAAAGAAAGAAGTTGTGTTAATTGAACAAAATCAACTGAACTGTATTAGAAGTTGCAAAACTGTTTTCCCCTGATGGGGAAAAGGTACAGAGCTAATAAGGTGATTTGTTTGCATGTGGGGTTTTCTCCTGTTTGTTACAGTGAAGTTTCTGTTTTACGCTGAGGGTTTATAATAGCTTCCCCAGCTTTGGGGTAAGTTTTCTTAACTGAAATTCTTTTTAAGCAGTGTAACTTCCTGCTAAAAAAAGGACACGGAATTGGTTTTATGTCTGCAATGGGAAAATTTAGTAAGATACTTAGCCTTTTCCCACAGATATTTTTATGGGTTGGGGGGAGGTCATTGCTTGATCATCCCTTCTGTGACCTTGAGTTTGTTGTAAGAATCATCTGCCAGAAGCAAGGTTCTCATGCAAGAGACTGTGCCCAGGTTGTGACTGCAAGATGACATTGAACCTTGATGGAAATCTTGGCTCTTCTGTCCTTTTTTCTCAGGCTGGTTTGGAACAAATACCCTTTAGGAAGTGTCCGGAAGAATTCCTCCAAACTGAGCCTTTGGGAATTTGAGCTCTTTTACAAGAAAAATTTGCCTATTTTCTTTCCTTCTTCTTCTTCTTCTTCTTCTTCTTTTTTTTTAGAGTTTATTTACTTTATTTATGATAGAAAGCACGTGCACGTGGGAGGGAAGGAAGCACCCTGGACAGGGTCTCCTCATTCTAGGATCCCCCTTCCCTGGTCCTCCAGCTCCTTGGAATCTTGGGCTTGTGTAACATGCATCCAGTGTGTTTCTAACCCGACCCGTGGGTCTGAACCTGCGCCCAGCCATGTGGCTTCCAGTACTGCAGTTCAGTTTGCTGTCAGCTGTGCCCCCCAGGCAGACTGGGTAATTTTCCAGTGAGAGGCAGGGAGCTTTGTAGGTATCTTCATTTCCCTTTCTTTTTCTTTTTTAAGAATTATTTTATTCAATTTTATTTATGTATTTTATTTTAATTTGGTCAGAGAGGGACAGAATGAGAGAGAGAGAGAAAGTGAGAAAGCAAGCCACCAGATCTGGGACTCAAACTGCGATCAGCCACGTGGGAGTCCAGCACCCTTCACCACACCACATGCTGGCCCCATTTCCCTTTCTTTTCTTTCTTTCTCTTCTTTTTTTTAAAGTAATTATTTTACTTGACTTTCCTTCCTTCCTTCTTTCCTTCCTTTTTATCTTTTCTTTCTTTGTTTTAATTTGACCAGAGAGAAACAGAGAGAGAGAGAGAGAACATGAGAAAGCAAGCCACCAGATCTGGGACTCAAACTGCGATCAGCCACGTGGGAGTCCAGCACCCTTAACCACCACTCCACCTACTGGCTCCTCATTTCCCTTTCTTTGGAGACTCTTAGTAATGAACCATGTACTGTGATCCCATTGTCTTTGATTTTTTTTTTTTTTTAAAGCCAGGAGACAGCTTTTGAGATATCGAGGACTTCAATCAGGTTATGAGAATGTGGTTGTGCCTTGTAGAAGAAGGAAGAGATCCCGAGAGCCCTGAATTAGGAGCCAGAGGCTGTCTCATCTTGCCCTTGTGACTTAACTTCTATGTAATAGTCCAGCAAATCAGTTAACCTCCTCTGGGCCTCCATTTTCTTTCTGGTAAAGTGGGACCCCGTCACTTTCCCATAGGGGGCGCAAATGGGACACGGGCAGGAAAATACTCTGAAGACTGGAATGCTTGTGCAAATAATTAGGAGAGCCACAAGCTGGGGGTGACGTGAGGACTGGATCTTGGCTGGGTTGTGACTGAGGAAGTAAAAGCCTAAAATGTAATGGATGAATTTGGAAGTCTTGGCCAGGCTCAGCAAGCCTGATGTATTCCCCAAAGTGTTCTCAAAAGAAGGATAGTGCTTTTCATGATAGAAACGGCTAATGGCTGTGGCCGGATTCCAGACCTCCACAGCCTCCTTCATAACCTGGGTGTGCAACTTGTTAATTGATCTGGAGTCATTTTTACTTATTACCCTGTATCTTTTCCTGGGAGAATTAGCTCTGGTAGTTCATAACCTGCTATATTAAGTATTGTTCTTCCCTTTTTCCTTCCTTAAGCTATCCTTTTTTACTCTAGAAATTTCAAGAATAGTCTGTTGGTGTCTAACAGTTGACATTTTCTGCCAGTTATATGGCTGTTTATAGCATGTGCTGTTTTTCTCCTGAGTACCTTTCCAGATCTTTTACTCGTAATTTTTCCCCATTTATCCTCATACATTTTCTTGTTTCCCTTCTTTCAGCCTAGGAAGGTTCAGTTTGCTACCAGCTGTGCCACCAAGCTGGTGACCAAGGTCCCAAAACCTAAAAACCAGCAGTACTGGGTCAAGGCCATTTTAGCTTTAGGAGTGTTTTCTCAATTGGGAGAGAACCATCTTTTTATTTATTTATTTGAAAAAGGTTTCCATGAATGAGAAAAACAGAAACAGCAGCTCAACAGGGCCCTGATGATGTGATTCACCCCAGCCTTCAACTAGCCGTGGGTCATGGACAAGTGTGTGCCTAAGTATTCAGGGAAGTCTCTGGACTTGAACTAGGGATCTTCCCATTGGGATTGCCTCACACAGAGCATCATATTTTTACCACTGCACCACTATTTGCTCCTTCCATTTATTTTTTGAAGTGTTCTGTCGCAAATCAGGCAGTTAAAGAAAAAAGCTTAGGCTAGCCAGTGGCATGGTGGTTAAGCCAGCTGGATCCCACATGACCAACTGCCTATTTTGAGTCCTGGACCCAACAGCTTGAAAAACACATCAGGTGTGTGTGAGTGCATGCCCAAAATCTTTAAAAGAGGGAGAAATGGAGGTATAACCATTCTCCATGGGGGGATTGCTTTCTCACTTTCTGTCTCTCTGGCAAGCACATGTGCCCTCTGGCAAATTAAACAAACTTAAGTGCATCTATGATTTATTTTCCAGAAATGGGACTAGTTCTTTATCTGCAAACATACTCATAAGTACATTCTCAGTGTCTATTTGAGTTCCCTGCCCTTTCAACTTAGGCCCAGAGCAAAGAGGTCCAAGTTGCCAATGATGTGCCAGACTTGGGCTTTTAGTGAGCTCCTATGGTTTACTTAAAAGCACATTTAAAAGGAGCTGACCTAAGGAGGGTGCAGACCCGTGATTTAAGAGTGGAAGTGTTGAATTATTGAGGCTGTGTAACTTGGGACACTTTAAAACTGTAATTAAAGTGAGAGAAGCATCTTGTGGGTTCCTTTTTTGGAAAGGCATTTGAGAAGGTCCCTCTTTTCTTGCTGCTCAGTGATGGGGGTTGCACTGGGTAGTGACTGGGTAGTGAGGAGAGAGATGGGGTGATATGGGAGGCAAATAGGGTGTTATTTCTTTAAAAATATTTAATTTTTAATTTATTGTTGTTATTTACACTGAGAGAGAGAGAGAGAGAGAGAGAAATCAAGCCACCAGGTCTGGGACTCAAACTGTGACTGGCCATGTAGAGGTCCAGTGCCCTAACCATCACATCCACCTGCTGGTCCCTACAGTTGGAGTTTTTTAACAAATGCGTACACCCATGAAGCCCTCTTGTAGGTCAAGATGTGCATAATACATTTCTCTACCCCAGGAGGCTCCCCCCAGTCCTGTCCTCAGCCCCATCATTTCCAGATTTCTAGGGCCTAGATTAACTTTATCTGTTCTTGAAATTAATTATGAATTTGGGCTCTGGCTTTCACTCACAATGTAATGTTATTGCTAATAACAATTTTCTTTTTTTAATTGCTTATGGGTATTCCATTGTATGACTATGCTACAATTTAATCAACCATCTTTGAATGATATTTGAATTGTTCTCCATTTTTTCAGCTGTTGGGACAAAACTGTTCTGAGTCATCTTTTTATTTTATCTCTCTGACTATGCTGTGTGGTTAGTGTCTTCATTTTCTAGTCCTGTAATCCTAGGCAAATATCTTAATCTCTCTCCTTTGGTTTCCTCATCTGTAAAATGGTGAATTGGGAAATAATTTAGGGTTGGGACCAACCAGACATTTTTAACTTGCTACAGAGCTTGTGCACTCACCAGAGAGAGAGAGATATACAGCGAGAGAGACAGAGTAGGTAAAAAAACAACCCCCCCCCCCGGGGGGGCAGTGATCAGAATCTCCTACTCCCATAAGACTCATATATGGATTTTCTACTCACTCCTCCAGAGTTGCTGATTTTTTTTTTTTTTTTTTTTAGAGAGATCTTTGCTATAGGGCATGAGTGTTCATTGGAGAGACAGACAGAAAGTGAGAAATCACCCCCAGGAGGGATGGCCGTGCCACAATCCCCTCTCCATTCTTTTCTTAGGATCTAGGGCAAACACACACACATACCCGAAGTGAATTTTAAGCTCTGGGCCTGGGACTCAAACCACAGTCAACTACATGGGAGTCCAGTGGCGTAACCATTATGCAATCTGCTGGTCCCACCTGGTGCGTTTTTCAGGCTGCTGGGTTCGGGACTCAAAGTGTACATTTGGCTATGTGGGATCAGACCACCTTAATTTTCATGCCACCTGGCTGTGCCAGCACCAGCATATTGAGAAAATGAAACAGAACAAAAATAGAGTAGAGGAAATGGCGTGGAATTGCACACAGGGCAGTGTATATGCGTGTGCACAGTTGTATAGGTGCTCCTTCTTGATTACTATACAGAATGGATTTGATGTTGTGAATTATAAGGAATATCCCTTTGCAAGACACTGATTTATGTTCCCTTGTAAGCAAGGGAGTTGAACACCTAGATGATTATTTAGTAGTTTGTCTTTGCCCCCAGGGTGTCTGAAACAGCAGCAGTAATGTTAACCATCACTACATGGGTTTTCTGTGGGCCCGGCACTATTCTAAAAGCTTTCCGTATAGTATCATATATATGTTTCTCACAACATCCCGTGAAGATGGGTTATTGTCCCCGTCTTATAGATAGAAGCTGAGCCATCTTTGCTACTTACCCTACATCAGAGAGATAAAAAAGAAGGGCCATGATTTCAACCAATGCAAGCCTAGAGTCTGGCCCTAAACCACCCCTCGTGAAGAGAAAGAGGCAAGTAAAATATGTTAAAATGCATGCACGGACACAAATGAATAATTGTCTAATTAATATAATACTCCCCCCTTTTATTTCAGATATGAGAAATGAGTGTTGGACGCCGAAGAATAAAGTTGCTGGGTATCCTGATGATGACAAATGTCTTCATTTATTTGATTGTGGAAGTCACCAAAAACAGTAGCCAGGAAAAAAATGGAAAGGGGGAAGTAATAATACCCAAAGAGAAGTTCTGGAAGATTTCTAGCCCTCCGCAGGCATACTGGAACAGAGAACAAGAAAAGCTGAACAAGCGGTATAACCCCATCCTGAGCATGCTGCCCAACCAGACCGGGGAAGCTGATGGGGTTTCCAACATAAGCCACCTGAATTACTGTGAGCCCGACCTGAGGGTCACATCTGTCGTTGCAGGGTTCAGCAATTTGCCAGACAGATTTAAAGACTTCCTGCTGTATTTGAGATGTCGGAATTATTCACTACTTATAGATCAACCAGAGAAGTGTGCAAAGAAACCCTTCCTGTTGCTGGCCATCAAGTCCCTCACTCCACATTTTGCTAGAAGGCAGGCAATCCGGGAATCCTGGGGCAGAGAAACCAATGTGGGGAACCAAACTGTGGTGCGTGTCTTCTTGCTGGGACAGACTCCGCCAGAGGACAACCACCCTGATCTTTCAGATATGCTGAAATTCGAGAGTGAGAAGCACCAGGACATCCTCATGTGGAACTACAGAGACACTTTCTTCAACTTGTCCCTGAAGGAGGTGCTGTTTCTCAGGTGGGTGAGCACTTCCTGCCCAGACACTGAGTTCGTTTTCAAGGGTGATGACGATGTTTTCGTGAACACCCATCACATCCTGAATTACTTGAATAGCTTATCCAAGAACAAAGCCAAAGATTTGTTTATAGGTGATGTGATCCACAATGCTGGGCCTCATCGGGATAAGAAACTGAAGTACTACATCCCAGAAGTTGTTTACTCTGGGGTCTACCCCCCTTACGCAGGGGGAGGGGGATTCCTCTACTCCGGCCAGCTGGCCCTGAGGCTGTACAGTGTAACTGACCGGGTCCATCTCTACCCCATCGATGATGTTTATACTGGAATGTGCCTTCAGAAACTCGGCCTCGTTCCAGAGAAACACAAAGGCTTCAGGACATTTGATATTGAGGAGAAAAACAAAAATAATATTTGTTCCTATGTAGATCTGATGTTAGTGCATAGTAGAAAACCTCAAGAGATGATTGATATTTGGTCTCGGTTGCAAAGTGCTCATTTAAAATGCTAAAATATATCCAAACTAAATTTTGCATAGAAAGACATACTATCGACAGTTCTAAATAGAACTTGAATAGGTCATAGTTAGAACTTGAATAGTTCCTATGTTGTGTTTTCACAATAGGGTAATTTCTATGTGAAACCATCCAAATTGCCTTTATACGTAGTATCCTTTTGAGGATTCTTAACCCTTCAACTGGTACTTTCATGAAGAGGGAAGCGAGAAAGTGGAGTTCATGGCAGAACAATTGGTTCTGATCCTTCCTAGTGACTAATGGTCCTTGTTTCTAATCTGTCCCCCTTTTTCTCCAAAATCGTAAGTTTCTGGAATGTGACCATTTTAAGTTATTTTTGTTTCACTCATAAGTGATAATATGCCTACTTCTCATTATAATGATTATTTCTAATTCTGGTGTTTATAAACCTATTGGCTACAAAGACTTTGTTATACAGAGTTTAATTTTTTTTTGAAATGGAATCATGTTCATTTTCATGAGATTTGGATGATTTTGTTTTAATTGTCCAGAAAGTCAACTCTTGAAATTTTCTGCCACCCCAACAGTATTTTCCTATGTTAATCTAATTAGTTAATTTGGTAAAATGAGAATCGCTGTGTGAAACTCATCCAGTTTCTCTTGTGGTCTTATGGTCATAATGAGAGGGAGAATATTTCATTTTTCTTGTATTTGTTTTGCTGAATGATATCAAAATAGTAATCTGACTTTAGTATTTGAAAAAATGAGTACAATTCATAATGGCCAATAGAAGATTGAACTGCCCTGGCAGCCATATTGAGTTTGTGAATTTTCAGTATGGACCAGGTAAGCACATGTAACTTTGGATAAGATTGAAGTTGCAGACCTCTTCCTGTGTGGTTTGTCAGCTTAAAACTCCAGGATTCTATTCTTGCCATATTTTCACATGTTGCTTATACAAAATTATTCTGAGTAGTGATCGCTTCCCTGTCTCAGTGTAGAAGTGCCTGTGTTTTTATTTATTATTCAGATCAAAGACCAAAACATTTTCTTAAATATATTTTGTGTAATATTTTATTTGTATACAGTGTTGTCGATGAAATATTTAACTAGAGCATGATATTTTAAATGTTAAGGTGTAATATATGTTAAATAAAGCTAACTGTTATTTTTGAATTTGAAAATTCCCTTTTTTGGGGGTATAAAGTACTATAGTTGATAAAAATTCTGCCAAACTATTGCTTACATGTACTATATTGTAATGTGCTCTCTTGAAATATTTTTGTGTTTATAGAGATAAGGATTCCTATTAGATGGGATATTGGAGGCTGTAAGAAAATTGAAATAAAGTTGCTGTATTTTTAATTGTCATGTGTAATAATCTATGATCTCTTTTTGTTTCCTACATTTGATTACATTTTTCCCAAAGAGGCCATGTTTTCCCCCCAGAAGCCATTACTGTAGTACCGAATGCTGTATACCCTGTTCTGTTTCAGTGGGTCATCTTGTCTTTGAATTTAGAAATCTCGAAAGTAAAGGGGCCAGTAGATGGCATATGGCTAAGGCACTGGACCCCTACATGGCTGACTGTGGTTCAAGCCCCAGGTTTGGCAGCTTGAAACTCAGAGTGCATATATGCACGCTTACATGCATACCTGCATGCGTGCCCAAAATGAGTAGAATAGAGAAGAGATTGTGGTATGGCCATCCCTGGGGGTTAATTTCTCATGTTCTCTCTCTCTGTCTCTTTAGTGAGTGGACACACTCATAGCAAAAAATCTCTCTAAAAAAATCTCTAAAGTGCTTTCCCACTTGGAGTTTTTAGAGAAGTGTTGAGTTTTTATGCTTTTATTTTCCAAGAGTATAAAGAGTTTAGTTAGGAAGAGGTGCAGTGCCATAGAGACTATTATCCTAAGCCGTTTCTGTTTTGGAGTTTGTAGCCACAGTGATGAAACACAGAGGCAGTCTTAACCATTTAAGTTTCTTTTTGAGAAAAAAATTGCTAATGTTCGATGAAAAACAAGTAGACTAGCTTCATGGTGCAGAAGTAACTGCTCAAGTGATGCTGGATCCATATGAAAGGTTGTAGGTTTAGTTCCCTAGTTGACTGGTACATGTTGGCCATGTGTGTGTGCTCCTGGTCCCGGCCGGCTGGGAAGGACTGGGGAGATCATGCCATGAGACCAATTCAGTGTGCTTATCTTTCTCTCGTTCCTCTTCCTTCCCTTGCTCCCATCCTGTGAAATAAATAACTTTAAAAATGGGAGTAGGAGTTGTTCCTGTGGCCTGGGTAGTTCGGGAGCCAGATTCTGCGTGGCCAATCACTGTTATCATTCTGGCCCTGGTGGCTTGAAAAACGCACTGGGGGGAACCAGCAGTTAGCGTGATGGCTATGTCGCTGGACTCCCATGTAGTCGACCGCAGTTTGTGTCCTGGACCCGGTGGCTTAAAACTCACGCCGGGCGCGTGTGCGTGCGTGCCCAAGATCCCGAGAGGAGAATGGAGGAGAAGGGATTGTGGTGTGACCATCCCCCCTGGGGGGTGATTTCTCGCTTTCTGTCTCTATGTCTCTCTCTGTCTGTCTGGCGAGCGCACGCGCCCTACAGTGAAAATCTCTCCAAAAAAAAAAAAAAACCGCACTGGGCACATGTGCCTCTGTGCCCCAAGTCCCAAGAGGGTGGAGAATGAAGTGATTCGGTTTCTCTTTCCTTCTTCCTCTCCCTCTGTCTCTGGTGAGTACACGTGTCCTTTGGTGACTCAAAACAAAAAGGTCAAGCAAGTAGATATTTGATGAAGCTCTGAAAACAGGATTGGTGTTGTGGAAAGACTTAGCAAATTTTCTTCTCTTAGAATGTTAAGGTCATTAATGAACAAGTGTGAGGACACCGTTACTTGATCTGATCGGATGGTTTCATGGGGCCTGCATCTCACTGCTCTACTCCAGTGGCTGCTGGCATATCTCCAAAATACATTGCCACATTAGGTTTAGGGAAGATAAAGAAGCTCTAAGAATGTTCATAGGTAATCAGTTTGCAATTTGCATGTGCCCATGTAACTTGAGGTTTCTATGAGGGCTTTTTTTTTTTTTTTTTTTTTTTTTTGAGAGGGGTTTTTTTTTTTGGGGGAACAGGAGAGATTGTTGCTATGGGGCACAAGTGCTTGCCAGAGAGAGACAGGAAGTGAGAAATCACCTCCCCAGGGGATGGCCACACCAAAATCTCTTCTCCATTTTCCTCTTGTGATTTTGAGCACACATGCGCCTGGCCGCCAAGTCCACAACTTAAACCGTAGTCAGCCATGTGGGAGTCCAGCACCTCAAACCACTATGCCACCTGCTAGCCCCTCTGAGGATTTAAAAATGTTTTTTCTACTTTTCAGGATTCCTCCCTAAGTTTCAAGTCTGCTGCTGAAGACACAGACATGTAGGCAGGTTTTGAAGCAGGTTTGGAAGGCCCCTGGGGGCCTTTTGTGATCCACCAGTTAACAGGAGTGCTGTTGCTTGAATGGCAGTCCTTGGTGCTGTTCATGTTTGGGTGAGATGGTCTCCGGCCCTTTTATTTGGTAGAAGTTCTCACACCGTGGTTGCCAAGCCCAGAACAGTCACCACCATGCTGTGAGGTTGACCTCATGGACTTTTCAGCGAAGGGATGCTACATGATAGAGCTTTACATGTACTTGAACTTGAACTCAGTTAAGATACTGCCTGATCCTTAAATCCATGAAGCCCTCTCCTGGGGCCCATGAGGTGGCTTCTCACTGGACCTTCCATCTCTTGAGTGTGAGCACTGTCTAATTTGATGAATTGACAACTGCTAAACAATGGAGGCCTCAGTGTAGCTGAGTTTGGGCTGCTTTCATGGCTACTACCAGCTCATGTTGATTTTGAATTTGAAGGTCAAAAAGGCAGAATGACCATAGCCTGGATTTGGAGCTTTCCTAAAAGCAAGCCTTAAGAGGAAAAGGATGAAAGAGATCAGAATGGCTCATTCCTTATCACTGACCATGGTCTTACCCATTTCCTTTCTTGAGTTTGTCAAGCAAGTCTGGGAAAGAAGGACAGACTGTTGAGGGGATATTTGTTACATTTGGAAGTTGAGTGCAGAATTAGAGATACCCAAATCTTGACCATCCACCTGCTTTTCCATTCCTGATGGGTAACTATGTAAAATAAATACATAATGTTCTGGGTTGTCTCTACCCCCTCAGATACAGAAAAGGGGGGATGACTTACATTCATTTCTAGGAAAGCTGAAATGAATGAAATCTTTACTTGGGCCAAAAGTTAAAGTCTTTGTGATTTGCCTTCTGATGAAAACTGTCAGGTAAACTGAAAATTCTTATTTAGAACAGGAAAATAAATACTAAGTGTTCTGAGCTCTTGAGGTTATAGGGTAAGTTTTGTTTCTCTAATGTTCTACTAGGTTGTTGGGAAAGTCATGGTACATTTTTTCATAGAAAAACATGTCATGACCTTCTGGACAACCTAATATATTGGTTTTATTTCAGTCATCAGAAAAGACTTGACACATTGTTGCATAGAAAAATATGTCATGACTGTTCCGATAACCCAGTATTTCCTAATGCCAGGATACGATTTTGAAAATTTTTTGACTTCGAAGTATTTTACTCTCATTTACTCAGGTCTCTAATACATTGAAAAACTTTTTTGCCCTTAATATCATTACAACTTGGGCCAGAAACTGTCGTGGTGGTTCAGGTGCTGGACTCCCACATAGCCGACTGAAGTTTGAGTCCCAGACCTGGCAGCTTGAGAATCATGTCAGGTGCACATGTATATGCCCCAAATCCCGAGAGAATGGAAGAGAAGGGATTGCAGCATGGCCATCCCCCTGGAGGGTGATTTCTCACTTTCTCTCTAGTGAGTCTATGCACCCTATGGCAAAAACATATATGTGCGTGTGTGTGTGTGTGTGTGTGTGTGTGTGTATCTCGTTACAGCTTGAAAGGTAGAGGCCAAGAATGAGGCGTTTTTGTCTTTTAAGAATAGAAAATCTTACTGGCTCACATATCATATGGATTACCATATTTATTAACTGTAAGATGTCACACTTTTATATATCACTTAAAAACTTGCCAATTCAGTATGATTTATATCAATTGTATGATGTGACTCAGTTGCAGAGAGGGATTTAGATACATCTTAGAACAATTGAAATACATTGTGTGTGTATTTTAATTGTCAGAGGTAGGTGTACTGGCAGGAGAGGGAGAAAGCACCCTAAATGAGGCCTGGTCATGCCACAGTCCCTTCTCCACTTCTTATCCTGAGGGATTTGGGGCATGCACACTCATGCGCCTGGTGTTTCTCAAGTCTTGAGGTCCAGGATTCAGACTCTAGTAGAGTCTAGCTCCCCCAGCCAGTCGGCCACAGGGCTGGTCCTGTGTTTTTGTTTTATATTATTTTTATTATTATATATAAATATTTTTTAAAAGAATTATTTTATCAACCTTTATTTTAATTTGACCAGTGGTTAACCACTATGCATAGAAAGCCAGATCTCATATGGCTTGCAGTTCAAATCCCAGCCTCAGCAGCTTGATAAGCAAGCTGGGTTGCCTGAAATCCTGAAAGGATGGGACCAGCAGGTGGCTTGGTGGTTAAGTCACTGGACTCCCACATGGCTGACCACAGTTTGAGTCCCAGACCCAGCATCTTGGAAATCTTGCCAGGTATGTGTGTATGTGTGCCCAAAATACCCAGGAGACTGGAGAAGGGATTTTGGAGTGACCATACCGCTGGGGTGTGATTTTTCACTTTCTATATATGTGGATTTCTTTCTCACTTTAGCTCTCTCTTTCCTTTTTTTTTCTAGCAAAAACCTAAAACAAAACAACCAAAAAATCCCGAAGGGGTGGGGAAATGGAGGAAAAAGGATTGTGATGGGATCGCGCCCCGTTGGTGTGTGCTTTCTCTCAGGCGAGTGCACATGCCTACGAACAATAAATAAATAAATTTAAAAATATCTGGGGGAAAAAAACCTTAAATTGGAAGATGGAATCCTGTTCAGGTGCATTTTCTACTTTGTCACTTTGATCTGTGTTCAGGAATTAAAAAAAAAAACACATATAATTATTTAATTTAATTATTTAAATTTGACCAGAGAGAGACAGTGGGGAGGGGGGGTGAGAAAGCAAGCCACGAGGTCCAGGACTCGAACCGTGGTTGGCCATGTGAGAGTGTCCAGCGCCTTAACCACCATGCCACCTGCTGGTCCCTGTGTTCAGGAATTTTCATACCCATCAACTATGGTCACTTTTGAGTTTCAGCAGTTACTTTTTTCCTAGCTTGTGCATTATGAAAGGGGAGGTATGGATTGTTCGGAAGCTCTGAAAGTAGCATTTTTTAAT